TCTACAACATATAAAGCTGAAAAGAATTGACTACACATACAGACATTGGTACGTGCCTGAATGTATAATACATATAATAATAATTATACGTATACATATACGAGGAGCAGCCGGAGAATATATGGTGACCACCTAATTAGATACACGAATCATATTATACCCCGATGTGACGTCAGTCTATCCTATTAACAGGTTAACTCAATCTGCATTTCATTGATATGCATTTCAATTACAGTATTGTGATATTATTAATTTATCGATCCCTAATTCGGTACCAAGATAATTAGACTAATTGTCTCTGCTTGATTTCAATGTATATATTTATCATTATTATATATTATCATTGATAATGCTTGCGACGCATACGCAAGCTACAATATTAATTAATAGTCGTGTTAAAATGAAATTACAATTCAATAAATTAATAAAACAAAATAGAAAAAAAAATAAACGATGCGTATATTTATTGTGAGAGGCATAAATAGAAGTTTGTGTAGCTGAACCAATAAGATATAATATAATATAATATAATATAATATAATATGTTTTGTTGGATAAAATTTTAGCATAATCAATTTAAAGTGAGATAAAGTGAGTGAAAGCGAAAAAGTTTAAATGATTCGCAACTGATTTGCATTTGAAATAAATCCATTTTATTGTACAAAAGTCATGTGTGGGGTATATATTTGACATTCTCACAAGAGAATATCAGGCTTTAGTGGCTGTCCGATAAAAAGAGACAAGAGACGGAGATATGTTATATGTAATATATCTATATATGTCATAGAATAAAATAATATAAACGGTGCAATAATATATAAAACACAAATGGTGAGACGATCTGGGAATCGGGATGGTCAACCGTTTACGACGGTATAAAAAAGGCAACCTCGGCAACGCGATTCTCGGGCACTGGCTTACTCCAGGACACGAGCTTCGTGCATGGCTCTCTCTAAATTTATCTGTATAATGGACGATATACCCCAAGGGATGGTACCATCTGGAAATATCCCTTCATCCAGCCACGTGTGCCATACAAATTGAATTCTTACAACTTTCAATGATATGGTAATGTAAGGACAACTTGCCGACCGGACACTTGCTTCAAGGACCGATCGTTGCTTCTTATTCTGAAAACCCTCAAACCCTCGTTTATAATCTTGCCCAGCTACCGTCGCTCGAACTTTATCTGCTTTTCTATTTACTTTTTTCTTCACATCATTTTTTTTTTATTTTTGTTTGGCGGAATTTTTTAAATCCTTCCTTATCTTCTCACTGCTTTTTTTTTTTTTTTTAAGTGATTCATGTAATTACAAATTTAAATTGATTATACACTGAATATAACGAGGATTTTGTTAGAATTAATTTTTTTAAATATTCTGATGAAAAATTTCTACTGAAAAAAATTTTTAAAAAGTCAAGAAGAAAATTTACTGATTGATTATATTGGTAAAGAGGACTTCTACTTATCCGGGCGCTAGAAATATTTCTTCCGTGTGGTAAGTAACTATTTTGTAGTCCACTACAACTCATCATATTTCGGATAAAATGAGTGCTTTTTAGTAGATTTTATAGAAATCTAACCATTGCATTTGTCCTCATAGCGGAACTTTTGAAAAATTTTGCTGTTTCCTGACTCAGGTCGTCGAGCTGGTTCAGAAAATACAAATAGTTCAAAATGTTCTTTGTATCTTTTTGAAATTTTTTTTTAATAGACTCTCTTTTAAGTTTTCTCATGTTAAACATTATTTATTTAAAAAAAAAATGTTAACAAGAAGCCACATGTGCGGGTATCAGGCGTTTTGATCCCCCGACAAAATATCCCCGGACAAAATATGGTTTTTCTGAAATAATAATTATAATTATTGAAATTTTCGAAAAATTTATTATAATCATTAAATTATAAATTTATAATAATTTATAATTATTATTTCAGAAAAATCATATTTTGTCCGGGGATATTTTGTCGGGGGATCAAAAATCATGGAACCCATGTGCGAGATGGTCAGCTCTCGAAAACCCACAAGTCTAAAAAATTCTGGTGATTCTGATAACAGTATTTATTTTTTAATTAAAAATGATTTATACTTTTTTTTTTCTCTCTCTCTCTCTCTCTCTATTGGTCAAATGGAAGTATCTCTGTCATACTTGTACAACAAATGGAATCTTAAAACACATTTTATGCATAAATAAATGAAAATTTTTCAAAAAAGCGCTTCGCTCTTCGATAGATAATTTAATTATCTATCGAAAAGCGAAGCGTTTTTTTCGAAATTTTATCTTATACATGAGCAAAACACATTTGAGAAATTAAGAACCTGAAAAAGACTCTTCACACGTAAATAATTCTAGTGACGATGATTATGATGATGAAGATGGCGATGACTATAGTGATGATAAAAATGAAACAAATAGTTCAAAGATCCAACCCAAACAACCTTTTTTTTTACTCAACCTCTTTTAAAAGAAAATATTTCTGCAACAAGAAAAATATTTTGACGAAAACTCCGAGAGTGAATTAACTCAGTCACGAAGCAAAAACACCTCTGGCTGCATAGAGTTCATTTTTTACTGTATACTATTACTATGTACTTACTTATTTATTATATATAAATTTATTAAGAAATCTACTTCCACTTCAGCTGCCAAATGGCCTTTTTTTATTTTAATTTATGTTTATTATCTTTTTTACGTTTCTTTTTTTATAATTTAAAACTTATATTGTGTTCACATAAGTCAATAAAATAACAAAAGTTTTTTTTATCAATAATAATATTTATCCGTCTGATAATCATTTAAATATTATTCAAGCTTATGACTTGTGACATAACGAATTTGCTAAAAAAACACGCAATCGACTAAGTAAATACATTTCGAATCATCACACTATCAATTAACAGAGATCATACGCGATGGCATTGTAATTATCATTCGATCAAACCATTCAAACGAATGATAACAGAAACCAATTTAAATATAAAAGAAAAAAAAAGATATTATTAGCATCGATAATTTACATATGTCAAGAAATTTCTTGACCTCTTCTTTTAAAAATTTATTTCAACCCATATTCCACATCTTCATGTCGCAAATAATTCCTAATAATAATAATAATATAATAATAACTTATTTATTTTAAGTGAATAATTATCGCGTGCTCTCATAATTTTCATTTTTCATGTTACAAATAATTCAAGGCTTCTTTTTATTCTATTCTTTTAGAAATTTATTTATTTATTTTTTTTTTTCATAATCCTATCTTTTCATCAAGACCTGAAAATTAAAATAAAAATAGTTTTAATCAATTTTTATTGATAAAATAAAATCTGATATTTTAAGTGAAATTTTTTTCAACCCATAAAAATTTATCAACAACTTAACTATTTAATTTATATATAAAAATTCATCTGGCAATTTCATAAATATAAAAATACTTATTTATAAAATCAAGTGATACAATATTTATATAAAAATACTTATACTTTTAATTTAATATATATACTAGTAGTATATATTTTATTATCAATACAATTTCCTATTTATCAAAAGTAATTTTCATATATATCACGCGCTTACATTTCATTACAGCATTTTGCCCCTTCTCCTTAAAATAACAACACACTTACATTTTACAATTAGCCATTACAAGTACGAACATGTAATGTCTATGTGTATAACCTGCAGTTCAATTGCATTTTTATTTGCGTGTTGACGACAAGTAAAGTAGAGAGAGAGTAGCGTTCAGCGGCCGTCAGCAGCCAGTATCTTGCTAGCTGTCACCAGAGAACAATTGTTTTATATAATTACAAAGTAGTCATAATAAATTCAAGTAATTTTTTTTCAAAGCAAATATTATTACTTAAATTAAAAAATTAATTTTCTGCAAAAAATAAATAAATGATTAGTTGACGTTGACAAGTCACTGACCATTTATATATATTAAATAGTATAACAACAAAATAAGTGCATACGCAGACGTTTATTTTTTGCATTTTATTTTTAAGCATACAATACCTTTGTATAAATCATTTCTATATTGATGATAGTTATTTTCGATTTACTTTGTATGCATGTATGCAGCAATAAATGCATGCGTGGCTTCCTGTCACTTATGTGCTGATAAAAAAATTAGTTTGTTGATAAACGAGGATTCAGTTTTGCAGTGGCTGCGTTGATTAAAAAAAAAAAAAACAATTAAAGTTTCTTTGTTCTGTCACTTGTGACGAGGTAAAAATTTATATTTTTATTTATCAAGATTAAAAATATGAGTATATTAAGTGACTTAATAAAATACTACAGTGTAATACTTTTACTTTTATTTAACTTTTTCATAATTTTAAAGTTAGCAGTCTTGACCATTTTTTAATTTTTTTAAAACAAATTTGTTTTAAAAAATTATTTTAATAAAATTGCATTTTTAATTTTTTAAAATTTCTACATATAATTTTTTTTGTCATTATTTATTTGAAAAAAAAAATTATTAAATATCTGTTAAATAAATTTTAATAACTTTCTCATTTTATTATATCATATGAAATTCAAATATTTGAACTGAAGTTTAAATGAAACTGGTTATAAGATTAAATGAAAGATGGTCTTCAGCCTTCGACTTTGACCATCTCCAATTTATTTATTTGATATTGATTAATTGGTGTTTGAATTTAAAAACTCTTAACATATAAATAATTTATTTTAATTCTACTCTTATCTTCATTATACTATTGTGAATTATTATTATTAAATAAAAAAAAGCCTGCGGGAAGTGAATTACGTAAATAGAGCCCTATAAACTAGTTTGATATAATATAAAAATAGAATATTGTCTTAAGGCCACTTGATATATTTTGATAAAACATATAAGTATTTATCTTATTAGTTATTGATGATATTTATTTTAAATTATAGCTATTGTTTCAGTTGAATAAAACTCCAACAAAAAGTTCAATAGTCTTTAAGTGAACTGTTGCTGAACAAGGAAGTGAAAGACTCATTGTCGAAAGATGTTTTTCATGCGAACTGTCATTTTTTCTGCTGTTAAATCCCGCTGGGCTGCCTTCAGGCAATCGCCATTAGCTGGAAAGAAGCATAATTTGGTAAAAAAATTAATTATTTAATAACCAGCTATTTACTACAATAAATATTTATACCTAATATTTTATGAAAATTAAATTAACTGACATCTGAAAATTTTTATTATTTTTTTTTTTTATTAAAAAATTATTTTAAAAAAATTTTAAATATAGAAGATTTGAAAAATTGTGCATAGAAAAAAAAAATAACTTGGATCAAGAGAAAAATTCTTAAACCAAGAAAATAATTTTGAATGAATAAATTATTACAAAAAAATTAAAAGAAAAAAATTTCAAATGTAGAAAATTTGAAAAATTATACACAGAAAAAAAAAGTTAACTTGGATCAAGACGAAAAATTCTTGAATCAAGTAAAATTTACTTAAACCAAGAAAAATTTCTTAGTTTAAAAATTTTTCTACTCAAATTAAAAAGATTAAATTTTTTTAAATTTACTTGATTCAAGTAAATTTTTTTTTTTGTGTACGTGCAATTTTTTTCAAGTATTTTTTACTTGGAATTTAATTGTTTAAAAAAAATCTAAAGGTCGGCTAATTTTAGTATCATAACATTTAACCTTTTTGCAGTTATTCGGATTCGTAGCTTGCAGACTGGTGTCGACTCATCATATCAGCAAGAACATCGAAGTTATTTGTCATGACGATAAGCCTCCGACAATAGAGAAGCCTTTTAGTTTACAACTGGAAAAAACTATCGACAGGCCACTGCTTGTTATCCTGTCCTGGCTATTTTCTAAGAGAAAACATGTAATGAAGTTTGCTAACTTGTATCTTGAACAGGGCTTTGATGTTGTCACAGTTAGTGTCACTCCTTTCCAACTGATGTGGCCCGTCAAAGGTACTCGGGTGAGTAAACATGTTATTGAATGAAAATTAATTTATCAAATATTTGATTATTTTAAGAATTTTTGTAACAAGTAAATTGTGGCAAAAAAGTGAGAAAAAAAAAATTGACTAAAAATTAAATTCAATTGTCTTCTCAGGTGGTAGCAAAAGATCTGCTGACATTCTTGGATCGAAACACAAGCTATCAGCAAATAATGCTCCATGGATTTTCAATTGGTGGGTACATGTGGGGCGAGTTGCTTGATCATGTTCATGAGGATCGCGAGAAGTATAATCATGTTATTGATAGAATTGTTGGACAAGTTTGGGACAGTGCTGCTGATATCACAGAGCTTACTATGGGCACAGCGAAAGCCGTTTTTCCTAACAATGAAATGATGCAGAATATCGTTAGAAAATATTTGGAGTATGTTATTTTTAATTTATAAGATGTTAATTATGTTAAAATTAAGTTGCTTAGTTTAATAAATTTTCTAGGTATCATTTGAAGACATTCCACGAACAAGCGACAAGGTACTACATAAGATCTAGCCAGCTTTTCCATTTAAACCTTGTACATGCTCCAGCATTGTTTTTAATGAGTAATGCAGACCCAGTTGGTGCGGTAGACAGTAATATGCGAGTTCGTGATTCATGGGACTCGCTTGGTACACCGGTAAGTTAATTAATTATCTTATTGATTATTGTTTTCAATCTAGACTTGTTTAAATAAAAATTTATAAATTTATTTATTACAGACTTATGTTAAAATATTTGAAAAATCACCACACGTTGGACATTTTCACAAATATCCCAAGGAATATGTTAATGAAATTTATACATTTTTGGATAAACTAAAGATGATTAAAAATGAAGAAAAAATTCGCGCACGTATACAAGCATGACCTGACGGTAAACAAGATTTAAAAAAATAAATAATAAAAAAAAGGAAAATAATTAATAATAATAAATTAATATTTTAATTGTAAATTTAAAAAAAAAAAAAAAAAAAAAAAAAACGAAACAATTATCGTTTTGTGATTCGAAAATCACTTTAAAATTGTGCCTTATATTATCATTTATATTTTTATGATTATAATTTAAAATAAATATATAAATTGATTTGTTGGAGAGGTTTTAAAAAAGACTTATATAAATTATTATTAATTGGGGGATATGGTTATAATTAGATAAAATTTTTCTATATAATTAAAAATATATAGACTTTTGTACTTGTCATATAATCAGATGATATATATAAATATAATAAATAAAATAAAAATATATAATCATACTTCATCTGTCAATTTATTTTCATCTTCTTTAATTTCATCGCTAGTTTTAATTGGTTTAATTTTTTTATCTTTTTTACTGTGTTTCTTCTTAGGTGCGAGAATTTTATCTATTTCTTCATCAGTCTTACCTTCCATCATTAACTTTTTTCGTTTGTTAATCATTTTTTTCTCATAAAAATCGGTTTCATCTAACACTATCTCAGCTTCACGTTTTGTTGTTGATACTTGAGTAAATATAGTTGCTATTTCTTTTTCTATAATGAAAAAAAAAAATTTATACATATGTGTACATTAACCCCTGACAAGCACACTGGGTAAAAAGTACCCACCCCAAAATTTTATTTCGTTATAATTCTTTGTGTATATTTAAACTTTGATAGTATTTTTATCTATTTTATAGAGAATTTTTTGAGCTTTGATTTAAAAAAAAAAAAAATTCACTAACTTTATTAGGGACCAAGATATTTGAAAATGAAATATGTTGGGTACTTTTCATCCTCAATGCTTAAAGAGGTATACACTGATAGAAGGGTTTGTTTATAGTTAAAAATATTTGTTAAATATTAACAAATCATTTATTAGAAACCATTTGTTAGTCCTTAAAAAATATTTCTTAGTATTTAAAAAGATTTATTAATATTTAATAAATGAATATCAGATTTATTAAATACAAACAAATCATTTTAAATACTAAGAAATATTTTCTTAATACTTAAAAGTGGTTTCTAATAAATTATTTGTTAACTATTAACAAATATTATTTAATACAAATAAATCCTTCTATCAATACTGATACACATCTAAATGTGTGCTTGTCACAGGGGTCAATTAAGAATGAGAGTAAGGGGTTAATTAAGGATGAAAAAAATAAAATAAAATTATCAGTAAATAATTACCATCAACTTTAAACTCTTGAAGCTTAGTTCCAATAAGTTCTTCAATAGCGTGTAATAATTTAATATCATGAGGAGTTATTAAACTAATAGACATGCCACCTCTACCAGCTCTAGCAGTTCTACCTACACGGTGAATATACTCTTTCGGAACATTAGGAATAGTATGATTAATAACCAGCTCAACAAGAGGAATATCAAGACCTCGTGAAGCTACGTCCGTGGCAATTAGAATTTTAACACAATTAGACTTGAATTTGTTAAGCGCCGACAGACGTTCGCGTTGTTTTATCATCGCGTGTAGAGCCACATTTTCGAATCCTACTGTATTAAAAGTCATGGACAATAACTGACAGTTCTTGCAGGTATCTGTGAATATCATAATAGAACCACTAGGATTTATTCCTTTGAACGTACGAATAACTTCTACGAGATAAGCGTCTCGTACGTCCCTAGGACAGACGACGTAACGCTGGTCCAACTGTTGGACAGTAGCCATTCCACTGTGATCGTTGTCTTCAAATTGAAAAACGTTATTGCGTGCTACTTGCTTGACTTGTTCTAAAGCGTCTGTCATAGTCGCACTGAATAACAAAGACTGGCGTTGCTTAGGCAGCGCTGAAAAAATAGTTTTTATTTGCTCGTCAAAGTCTCCACCAAGCAGTCGGTCAGCTTCGTCAAGAACTACAAATTTGAGCTTGTTCAGCGAAAAAGTATCGCAACTTTCTAGGTGATCTGCTAAGCGGCCTGGTGTCGCTACGACAATGTGAGGCCGCTTGGATAATTCTTGGGCTTGAGTCATCATATCCATTCCTCCTAGCACTACACATGTCTTTAAATTTATTGGTTTTCCTATTGCAGTAAATTGTTCTCCAATCTAAATGAATTTAATTTAATAAAAAAAAATTTACTTGAAATTTAAAGTTCATTCAATTATACTGAAAGCTGACACCTGTTAATTTTTTGAATTTTTATAACAATAATAAAAATGGTTTTAAAAATTTCCATTAATTACTTTTTTTTTATTAATTTTCACATGATACTTTATCTGCTATTAAATGCTAAAAAAATGTCTAATGTCTGTCAACTTCAGTGTCATGTTCTTTCAATGTATTTTATATAAAATAAATTGAATTAAAGACTTACTTGACTCGCTAATTCTCTTGTTGGTGTCAATACAAGTGCAAATATTCCGTAAGGATCTTCGCATAATTTTTGTACAATTGGCAAGACAAATGCTAACGTTTTACCACTACCTGTTTTAGCACAACCAATACAATCATCACCGGATAATATTCTTGGAATGCAATTTTTTTGAATTTGAGTAGGTTTTTTTACACCTGAAAATGAATATAATAGCTCCGTAAATAAATAGAGATTATTGATAATAATAAAGTTAGCCGACATTTTTGATTTTTTTATTTTGCTTAATTTATTAAATTATAACTAAAAAATATTTTTAAAAAATTGCACTTATAGTTTTTAACAAATGAAATTTTTTTTAAAAATTTTTTTGTAATAATTTTAAGAATAACTAACTTGTAAAAATTATTAACCCTGTTAATGGCTACGGCTGTTGGGTTTGTTTGTTTATAAATAAATAAATAAATAAATAATTCTTTAATAAAAATACAATTGCAATTATGATACTGAAATCAGCTGATATTAAAAAATTTTATGGTTATTTTATATAATTAATTTAAAATTAACAAAATATTTAAAAAAAAAAATTGCACTTATAGTTCCTTCAAATTTTTTACTAGTGAAATTTTTTTGTAATAATAATAAGTTCCAGTATTATTGAGTGTAATTGTTACTTACCTATCAGACTACACTGTTTAACTATCCAAGAATTTAGATTTAATTCTCCAAAAGTATTTATTTCTTCACTCATTGTTGCAAAATATTCATTTGTATTTATTAAAGAGTAAAAAAATTATTTATTAATTGTTGGGTAACAATAATAATCCATGAATATGTGACAGTAGGCGAACACGTGTTTTTATTTTGAATAAGTTGAATTTTAGGTTATGTCACTTGTGTATTTAATGCGCTGTTGTATATGAGTAATGCCAATATTGACATTCACTGTTTATTTACTTTCATTTGAAATTATGTGATTTTTCGGAGAAATTGTCAAACCAAATTAAAATTAATTTAACAGATATTTGATCATTATAAAAATTTAATGAAAATTAATTTAGCACATATTTAATAAGCTTAAAAATTTTATTACAAATAAATTATGATAAAAAAAATTGACATGTAGAAATTTTAAAAAATAAAAAATGCAATTTTTTTTAAATAATTTTTTGGAACAAATTTTTTTGTTAAATAAAATTGAAAAATGATCAAGTGACTGCTAATTTTAATGTCATTTTTAATGAAGATAAGGTCGCCATACGGTTTCAGAGACTGTTAAGAGCTTGAAAGTATGTGGCCCAGCCACTGCGACAATTCCAACGTCTCCAGGATTGCAGGATATTAAACTGATGTAAGATTCGGGGTCTAGGTTAGGAAGTTTTAAAGAAGATTCTACTTTACCTTTCTCCCAGAGGTAGTACAGGAGGGTTGAGTCAGGCTCTCCGGTTATCGCCGCTAGGTAGCGGTTGTCGAAGCTAAAAGCGATGCAGGAGAATTTGGTGACGCCGGGAGAGTCGTAGGGAATTACTAGGGACTTTTTGCGCTTTAGTTGAGAAAGGTCGTAGATTGAGATCGAAGGTTTGTCGCCGGTTTCGCAGAGGGCGACATATTTTCTGGAATTTTTAGTTTTAGGTTAGAATTTTGATCATACTGAAGTTAACCACAGCAAGAAAGCTGACAATTTTATTTTGAACTACTTTTAAAAATTAAATTTTTTTTTTTTTTTTTATTATTTAATTTTAATAATTAATTTTTTTTTGTATGAGGAGCAAAATCGAACAATGATTTCTTTTTATCTTTAGCTCCCAAGAAGAATCAACTAATCTATTTATAATATCAATAATAATTAATAATAGTAATTAATAATAATAATTAATAATAATAGTAGTAGCAGTTAAATTCTAATGACCTTTTTACATCGCACGCCACCGAATTTATTTATATATATAATTATTCATTAATTAATCAATTTTTTTTTTATTTATACGTTTATATGATTTATCAATTTATTTAATTCTACTGTACGGGCAAAAGAATTATTTATTGAATGTATTTAATTATTTTATTATTATTAACCGTACTTATTTTTATTCATCTTCAAATAAATCTTAAATCCGAGTATAATTTGTCAATTATTAATTAACACTTGGAAATAAATGAAGATAAATTTTTTCAGATACAAATTATTTAATCAACCAAAAATTATATTTTGTTATAAATTTAATTAAATAATTGCATCTTCATTACATACAATAAGTAAAAATAATAATATAATATTTTATACTGTATTGTGAAATTGACACTTTAATATTTGGATTTTATGTGCACGTAAGCATTAAAAAATAAAATAATCCAATACTTTTACAGTATAAAATAAAAAACTATTCACCTTAATCAATTAAAATATTAATAAATGCTGTGGTTATAAAATTGATGTAGTAACATCAAACGTGCACAAATCCAAATATTTTCTTCGTTTGACATAATCATCAATTTTTCGCAAAATTGCGTTTTCTTTTTTTTTTTTTTTTTTTTTTTTATTAAATACACTCATCGAATTGTTTTAAATTTATACGAGTGCTATTTACAATTATTGCATAACATTTGTATCTCGCATTGTATCTTTAATAATTTCCAATGCGAGCAAATGAATACTAGTGCTAACTATTCATTTTAACTAATTGTCTCATTAATACTATATTATTATTATACATAATATGAGTAAGATTTTTTTTATTTAGAGGAGAACACTACTGTGACGATAGAAAAAGAGAGGCGATTTTTGGGAATTTTTTTGACAAGGAAAATAAAGGAATTTGGGGGTACATTGAAGATTATTACCCTAAATTTTTATTAAAAAATATTTAATTATTACAAAGTTATTAACAATCTCGTAAAAAAATTTCCCTCCACGGTCGCATCGATAATTCAAAAACGGATCATCTGAAAATAAAAACCCAAATTGCTTTTTAATCAGTAAGGATGTAGTTATCGTCGCACGTACGGAATTTTGAAAATTTTAATTTTTAAAAAAATGGCGACTGAAAATTTTCTCACTATTCTTACTGTTTTTTTTTTTTTGTTTTAACCCGGCTAAAAAAATCTTTAAAATAAAATTTTTTCAAATTTTTATTGTGCTCGACGAGATTGTTAATAATTTTGTAATAATTAAATATTTTTTAATAAAAATTTAGGGTAATAATCTTCAATGTACCCTTAATAAAATAAAAAAAAAAAAACGATTTCCGAATTCCTTTATTTTCCCTGTTAAAAAAATTCCCTAAAATCACCTCTTTTTTTCAATCATTACAGTGGTGTTCCCCCTTAATAATAACAACAAAAACTCTAAAGATTTTATTATTCACCCAATCTTATTAATTAAAATTTATGCCGATATAGGAAAGAAAAAAAACTCGAGCCAAATACCTGCCATAACTTCAAATAAATCATTCGTATTTATTATTTAATCTAATAGTAATATTAAATAATCAATAAACCAATGAATTAATAATAAATCACTGTGATTATAATTGTTAAGAGTGAGGCAGGTCAATAGTGTGAGTTTCATTTCCGAAAATCAGTCGCAGTCTCTTCATTGGCGGGGGAGGTGGTGGATCGAGATTTAACTCACGTCTCTTGTGCCTCCTCTCGCGATCTCGGGTCTTGTGTTTCTTTTTGCGTTTAACAGAGCCCTCGACACCCTCGACTCTCAAAACTTCGTACTCGGGTTCAAAGCTGTCCTCGCTGAGACTAGTCCCAGACTCAACGAGATCATCAAGTACAGGTGAACGTTTCATACGTAAGGTTAGCTTTAACCTGCCACCAGGTCGCTCAGGTGTCGTCGGACACTCACGACAAAGTGTTTCACTTTGCCACTGACCTTCAGGTACTGGTTTACGTGAGTGATTTGTCGTTTCTTTAGGATGAGATTCAGGAGAGCTCAGCTGTCCAACTGTGTCATTAGTGTTGTTAATTAATTGAACATCGTCAACATTGGTTGTTAAAACTGGCTGTTTAGCTGGCCAGGGCTCTTCGCGAATCAAAACAGGTGGCTCATTTTTACCACTCAACTCATTGTTTTTCAATGACTCACTCAACTTAATGTTTGAATTATCAGTAACACGAGAGTCAATATTTTTACGCCTGATAATGTCAATAGTGTCACTGATACTACTTTCATTGTCATTGAACTCATAAATGTCACCTTGAATACCCGAGTCATCGTCAGCAGCACCCACTACCGTCGATTCACCCGTCTCCTCTTTAAGACACTCTTCTCTTCGTGAACTTCTGGTCAATCTGCCGTTCGTCCTAACCACTCTACCACTCCGTACCTTTTTAACACGCTCTTTATCAGCTACACTAACCGAATCTTTAGCTTTGCGTGTTTTAACGCCCCCAGATCTGCTACCGCGTTTGCTTTTTCTCCTAGACCTTGGACTGGCTTTTTCAACAGTCACCGAGTACGAAGAAGAAAACGAAGAGCTGGATGAAGACGAAGACTCAACAAATGGTCTTTTTAGAGTCAAACTACGCGTATCTTCCGATTTTTTACCGCTAGATTGATCCTTCCATTTATTAAAATCTTCATCGGATTTATTAGACTGACTTCCTTCGCTGTAACCCGAGTCAAATTCTTGAACATCTTCTACCGTTTCCTTTTTAGAAAGTTTATCATCACCCGTTATAATATTATCACCGAATCTCGCGTGCTCTCCTACGCATGCTCGGGCTGTTGTTTCGTCATTAGCTTTCGCAGCTCTAGTACTAGAACTAGAACTAATACCCGAGTTTGAGTTTTTAGAAGCTTGCATGGTAGAGTCAAACTGCCGATCGGTAAACTCACTCTCCGCGGGCGCTACTTTAGCATCTATCTGAAGATATCTCTCAGTTTGACCTTCACCTTCGCTGTAATTTGTTTTACGAGGTGTTTCACCGAGTGCAGGTGATTTTCTGTGCTCGATGTCTCGCGAATCTCCCGAAGACTGGAGAAGCGATTTGCGACGTCTTGTCATACCAGTAAATGAAGTATGACTGTTGCGCCAACGTTCTGCTGTTGATGTCGCATTATTAGCCTGCTTTAAATTATTAGGGTGCAATAATTTCGAATCTTTGTCTTGAATCTGCTCACTTACTCCAGAATCCGGTGAATTATTTTTCTTAGACTCTACTGCTACTGCTGCTGGAAGACCATGGACATTATTATACGATTTCTCACTAGAATTATTATCAATTTTAGCTGAAGGTACACTGTTGTCATTAAATTCATCGGTTTCATTATTAGAAGCTTTTGTTAAGACTGAGCAAGTATGTAATTTAGTATTATCATTATTTAAATTATTATTGAGAGAACCAGGTGGATTTTCTTTAGATTCTTCAGCTAGACAATCAATCGCTGTACCATCATACTCGCTGTTATTTTTATTACTCCCGGTATGATGAATCGAACGTTCATCAATACTTGCACGGTTTCTCTTTGTAGCCGTTCTCTTTTGCAGTCTCGATGCTCGCAGGCTCTGACCATTGTTGACATTTACGTTATTATTATTATTATTATTATTATTATTATTAGTGTTATTATTGTTATTATTATTGCTCTCATTTTTGGTAGTCTGTTGTTTATTACGTAGAGTCCGCGTTCCAGGACCAATTATTGAGGACGGATGAGGTCTCGGAGCTTGCAACGATTGTGTGTTAGTGGTATCTTCGGGGATAGTTGGTTGTTGTTGTGTTATATCCGAAAAACGACAGCCTTGAGCGATAAGCAACTCCGCGTCATATTTTGTTAATCCTTTACGACGTAACTCCTTCATACTGAGAGATTGTGGTGCTACAGCTGCATTACCAACAAGTACGGCATTTTTTTCCGTTAGAGCACCGTCTGCGTGGTGCTTAGAAGAGCCGATAGGTTGCTGTCGGTGCTTCGTACGGTTTATTCGATTGTCTGTTTCCCTGAGACGATATCCTGTAATTATTAGTTTTTTTTAGATAGCAATAAAAACAGTAAAAATTATGTTGTATTTATTTATAACGAAATAAAAGACGAGGATAGAATGGTTATTTTTAAAAGATTTTGTAAAGGAAAAATTTTAAGTTTTAAATAAAATATTAAGGGGAGAAGTCCATTGTAAAATTGAAAAAAAATCGATTTTTTTTTTTTTCGATAATCTGAAAATATAGTATATAAAAAATCTCGAATATTGACGAAGTTATAGCTAATATAATGGAGCGGGCCGAGTGCGTTTTGTAAAGGAGCGAGCAACTTTAAACGCGATTATCTTGAAACTGTATTTTTAAAAACTGCTCGTGTTGTAACTCAAAAAGTTATCGACCGATTTGTCTGAAATTTGGTGAGGCTTTTCTCTACATTATTGTCGGGAGGGTAAATCTAAAATTTCAAATATTTTGCGATGATAAAACACTTTTGTGGGGTAAAAAAAATAGCTCCAAATTCTAACTTTTTTTTTCAAAGGCTTATTTTATAATTAATTTTATCCTTTTTTTTTTTTTAATTTTAGAGGCAGCACACAAAAAATTATCCTGAGCCGCCATTTTGAAAAGAAAAAAAAATTACTTTTACATGGATTTCCCCCCTTAATGTACACTTGATGTAAACTATTGTAAAAAGACTTGTAAAATAGCTATTGCTAAACAATAAATTATTATTATTATTATTATTATCATTGTAATAAAAAAAAAATATTTACCTGTAGATAATTCATCCCCAGGTTTTTGACTTGCAAAAGCACCAGTGCCTCGTCTTTCGCAAGTCTCGCATTCACAGTAACAGTTTCCATCGCCAAAAAAATCTTCGCCGTAAAAGCAAGTGATTTCTTCGCCAACTTCAATGTCACGCAATACTTTTACACACGCAGTGTCCCTTCCAGTAGCAACAAATTTACAATTAGCGCGGCAGTCGTGGTTTATGTAAGCAGCAGGTCCAAGCCACAGCTGAGCGCAATTTTTGCGACAACTGAACATCACTGAGAAATCATTTTTCCCCGGATGCAGCAGCGCAGCTTCTTCTTTCTCGCTCAACTCAGCGATGCAGCCGACGAGACAAGGAATTTTGTCGTGCTTCAGCCATTTGCGTGTTGCGCATATCTTCGCGCCCTTCTGCCCCTCAAGTGAATACCTGTAGCACGGCTCGATAGCGAACCCAGAATCTTTGTCGAAAATCCTCAAATAACGATAGACATGCTTCTGGAGATTTAACTGCTGCTGCTTCGATTTAGCGTGCGGTAGTCTTGCTCCCCAGTCGCTACCCATCAATTTTTTGTATGTTTTTTCATAATTCTGGGTCTGCATAAAATCTGTTATCACTTTCCGAAGCTCGTCTTTGTTAGCTTTCAATGGTCTATACCTAGATAAAAAATTAAAAAAAAATTTATTAAATCTCAGGATTTTGTAGAAATTTTTTTTTTTTTTCTTTTTTTTTTTTTTTTTTTTTTTCAATTTCCTATACCTGATGTTCATTTTATGTGAAACAAAACCCAAATAAGGGTCCAGCACAAGAGAGGTTGCAAGGTCGTCATTATCACAGAGTTCCTTAGGCGTCATGCCACCAGTGCCACCGCTAACTCCGTTTGGTTGCATCTTGTTGCCTACCGACCCTCCCAATCTCCTCTCCTGCTTCCGCGCTGCAGCTGACCCCTGAACTGACAGACTATCTACCACCATTCTGCAACCTTTACACTCACTATAAAAAAAAAAAAAATAATAACAATAACATAACAGTATTTTATTTAAAAAAAAAAAAAAAAAAAAAAAAATTAATTTGATTTTTTATTTTCATTAACAAGTTTAAAAATTTATCAACTTGTCTTAAACTTCATTCATTTATTTTTCACTCACACATACATATGATTGTGTAATTACGGACCAATGCAAATATACGATTGCGTTGATATAAACAACGCTACATCGTGCTCAATACATAATCAATTTAAATCATAATAACAGATTCACTTAGTAATTGTCCGATAAAAACAATTATTTTATCAATTGTCAAACTTTAGTCACAATAATTATTTATCTTAAATTTCCGGTTGTAATTTCAGGGGTTTATTATTTTTCGTGGTTGGAGTTGTGACTACTGAATGTCAATGGTAAAAAAAAGAAAATTGATTGGGAAAAAATAAAATACTCGAATAATGATGGGATATTATAATGCGCTGGAGTATGTTGAGTAAAATAAATAAAAATGAATGATAAATGATATTGCAAGTGTCAGTGTGTGACTGTCTTATGGATTTACTAATTTTGACAATTCTGACACGAATGAATCTGGCGACCATGCCTTGAAATGTTTAATGGCTGCTGGCGAGCTTGTTAGATTCGCTCATTGAAGCCCCAATAACGATTAATTTTATCCTCACTATGAAAAGGTCTCCTAGTAAACAGGTAATTATTACAAAGATTGTAATTTATTGATACAAATACGTACCGTAAAGTGCCGCTCCTCGGAGAGGAGCTCCCACATTTCGTCGTTTAATCACTTGGCTTTTTTGGAACGCTAGGAGGACGCGTTCCGATCTATCATGGCAGATTGACCGCAACACTCACTCACCAATTTACTATCAACAAGTTTGGTGTATAAACCATTAATCTGCCAGCCGATTTATTTTTTAATTAACAATTACGGCTAATTTTTAAAATAAAATTAAACGTCAGTTGAGTTGAGATAGTTAACAATAAATTGTTGAATAATGAACGTTTGGGAACTATATACACGAAATCGCGTACGTCATGCCTACTTTTCTCACGAGCATGCCAATCTGGGGAGTTTTTTTTTTAATATTATTATTATTTTATTATTGGTTTCATTTACCACAATTGATCGCGTTCTGACATTGTCAAAAATAACAACTTTTTTTTTATTTATTTATCCTGTCATTCACCGTGACACATTATTCTTATTTTAACACTCTGAACACTGATAATTGTGTCGTTAATTTATTTTACGATGGTTATCCAATGAAATTATTCTATAGGATGTTTTGTTCCGTTAGTTTATTTTTTAGTAACTCCAAAGTGGCAAGACTGCGTTGCCATGACAATCCGACGGCGTCGTAGCCAGTCAGATCGTTGCTTGGTAACGATTTTTAATTCGTGCTTTCTTACGCGGGAAATTTAAAATTCTAACCAAAATTTTTTATGACTGAAGTTAGCTGACAGCTGTCAAATTCTTTAATTGTTATAACAAATTAATTTTCATTAAAAAAAAAAAATGCTTCATGACATTAAACTTAGCAGTCATTAGACTATTTTTTAATTTATTTTAACAAATAAATTTGCTCCAAAAAATTATTTAAAAAAAATTGGATTTTTAATTTTTTTAAATTTCTATTTGTCAATTTCTTTTTGCCATAATTTATTTGTTACAAAAATTTTTTAAATTATCAATTGTCTGCTAAATTAATTTTCATAAATGCTTCTAAAAATTTTTTTTTAATTTCTACATGTGCAATTTTTTTGATAAATATTTTTCAATTAATTACAATTTAATTACAAAAATCTAGAAAAAAAATTTCGATGTCTGTTAAATTCAATTTCATAATTTTTTTTAATATATTATTATTATTATTATTATGAATAAAGTAATTCCATTATTTATTATTATCACTGAAGTAAAAAATAAATTCATACTTGAAAAATTAAATTTTACTTAAAAATTAATGAATAAATAAATTATTTATAAAATTAAACTTAAAATATAAGATTATAAATAATAATAATAAAGTTAGCCGACATTTTAAATTTTTTGATTTTTTTTTTAAATAATTAAATTAGAATAAAATAATATTTTAAAAAATTGCACTGACAGTTTTTAAATTTTTTTACATATGAAAAATTTTTTCAATCATTTCTTTAATGAAAAAAAATTCTAAAAATTTTTAGATGTCGGCTAACTTAATTTTCATTTATAAACATTGTTTAAAAAATTATTTAAATTGTTTTAATGTTTAATGTTTTAATTAATATTATTACTAAAAAATAATTTTTAATTACATTTAATTAATTTAAAATCTATTGATATTTATTTATTTTACAAATTATTACAACAAAGTGATATTATTGCTGTCACGCACGCGCAGAGTTTCAAAAGTGATCGCATAATGTGTCATCAATAATTAATAAATAAATAATCAACACTTTAGCAATCTAGGAACTTTATCACGCATGTATAATGGATGTAAGTGAGCCTGTGTAGAAGAAAAATAAAAAAACTGGTGGGGGAATGTGTATCATGTGTCCATGTGTTCTGATGTAATCACTGAATTGCTGGCCAGTGGATCCAAGGGGCTCATTTCGTTGAATTTGGTTATCAGTCATCAGTGCCCGGCGTATTTTCTATTCTTCCAATCTGTAACTAATAACAGCAATTGTTTAAAAGTTCCAAGCCAACAATTACTCAAAAAGAAGAACCAGAAGTTGAAAAAATGGCTCTAGAATCGATTGGATTTCAAACAAACAAATTACAACACCTCAAAACAGGCTTCATTGATTTTACTGCCGGGTCGCTGGGTAATATTTAAATATAATTAGTTTTTTAATTAATATTTATTTTGTGGTTGTTAGTTTATTAATTAGAGCATTTAATTACATTAATACTCTAGTGGGATTAATTTTATCTGCTTTTTAGAGAAATGTTATCAGTTTAAACTTATCACGAATCACAAGATTAACTTCTGTAATTTATTAGATAATGGATTTTATTTTACAGGTGGAATTGCTCTTGTTTATGTCGGCCAACCACTGGACACAGTTAAAGTAAAAATGCAAACCTTTCCTAGTATGTACAATGGCATGGTCGATTGTTTTACTAAGACATTTAAAGCTGATGGTTTAGCTAGAGGATTGTATGCAGGAACAGTTCCGGCTATTGTAGCAAATGTCGCTGAAAATTCAGTATTATTTGCTGCCTATGGTGGCTGTCAGACAGCTATAGCACGTCTTATCGGTAACAAGATATATATTACTTGATAATGAAACTAAAATTATCGGACATTTGAAAATTTTTGATTTTTTGAATCAATAAAAATTTTATTTATTTATTTACTTTTGGATATACATTCTATAGAGGTGCAGCACGGCTGCCCAATTTCAAAACACAGTAGCTGACAATTTTAAGATTTTTAAAAATTTTTGTTATTAAAAATAAGTTTGCGCGCCTAATTGATAAAGAATTTGATTTATGAATTGAAAATACTTGAATATAAATATTTTTAAGAAAAAATACTTGAAATTAAGGTCTTAAAGTTGTAAGAAATGCAGCAATACTAAAAAAATCAGGCATAAAAATTTTACAATTACTGTGTTTTAAAATTGGGCAGCTGTGCATTACACCTGTGCATAGAAACCAGAAAAAAAAGAAAAATACAAAAAATTATTCATACTTTTTACAAATCGAGAAAATTTCAACAGAAAATTGCAAGTAAAAAAATATTTTGCACTTAGAATTTTTCAAATTCTCTACATGTCAATTTTTTTTAAATAATTTTTTTCAATAAAAAAATTCTAAAAATGTAAAGATATCGGCTAACTTAACTTTCATTACTTGATCTGTTTATAAATCATTGCCAAATTTTAATTAATTTCTCAATAAAAATTAGTTAAGTAAATATTTAATAATTAAAAAAATTTTATAACAAATAAATTATGTTAATAAATAATTTTTTTTTTATTGACATGTAGAAATTTAAAAAAATAAAAAATGTAATTTTTTTAAACAAATTTATTTGTTGAATTGTCTTTTAATTGCTAACTTTAAAATGGCATAATTTATTATCATTACAGGTAAACCTGATATAAAAAGTTTAAATTCATTTGATAACGCGTGTGCTGGTTTTTGTGCTGCATTTTTTTCTTCTTTAACTTTATGCCCAACTGAACTTGTTAAATGTCGACTGCAAGCGATGAGAGAAGTTCAATCCCAGCAGGGTAATGTCACTGTAAGTTTCAATAATGAAATGTCAAAATTCTACATTTATATAAAATTGTAAAAAATAATTAAAAGCGTTAATTTTATCTTAAGCGACACATTGGTCCTTGGACATTAACAAAATCCATAATACGTGAAAATGGATTTTTGGGATTATTTAGGGGACTCTCGTCAACTATTGCTAGAGAAATGCCCGGTTACTTTTTCTTTTTCGGTGGATATGAACTCACCAGAGGATTCTTGGCCAAACCCGGACAGACTCGTGACGAAATTGGCCCGCTAAAGACAATGGTTGCTGGAGCTGTTGGTGGGACAGTGCTTTGGCTAGTTATTTTTCCTGCTGATGTTGTTAAAAGTCGTATTCAAGTAAGTGTTTTTAAGAATACAAAGAAACTTAAAAATAAATTCAAAAATTTTTTTTTACACAAATAATTAATTATTTTTAGGTACAAAATTTAAGCGAACCTGCGATAGGTATTATGAAACAAATAGCAAGAAATGAAGGAATATCAGCGCTTTACAATGGATTAAAACCAACACTCGTAAGAACAGTACCAGCAACAGCAACTCTTTTCGTTACTTATGAATACACTAAAAAAATGTTACACTCGGCTCTTGATTGATAAAATATACATGTAGTTATTGCTATTTATAATAACTATTTATTTTTACTAAAATAAAAAAGAAGAAATAAAATATTACCTCAATTTAATATATAATAAAATAACTAATAAGTATAATAATAATCAACGTCTTCCTCGTATTAATAAATTTTTTTAATCATGATTATTATGAGTGTGTTATTGTAATAATTATTATAAAAATGTAACTATTATCTATCATAGTGTCAAGGATTAAGGTCTAGAGATAATGCATTTATATACATGTTATTTTGACATTTAAATTTTTGATTGTACATTGACATCATGTTGTAATAAAAGCTCTTTAAGATACTGCTTCTTTTCTTTTAAAGTTTTCACTGACTGGTACCACGAGGCATGAGGTACCTGAAAGAAATTTTTTAGATAAATATATCTGTTGTAAAATGTGTACATAAAAAAAATAAAATTAATAAAAAATAAAATAATTACCACAATTGGATAGTAGCCAATTTTTTTGAGTTGCCTTATCTTAGCTTCTAAAGAACCACAGGGCTCGGCAGTGCCCCGGAAAAGATGATTATGTGACGCAAGAATAAAAGCCAACCACCTGCAATCGGCTGGTTCTTTAGGAGCGTATTTTATTGAACTAAAATCGATTTTTTGAAAATGTGGAGCTGCTGGTACAATTTTATTTTCTTTATCGATGCACATTAAAACTTCGGATCTTTGTAAATGTGGTAGGAGTTGTAAAACGATGATCTCTTTTGAATCTACAACTTCTTTCAGGAGCTGGACAAACTCTAAAGTGAATCTTTGAAAAGACGGAATTCTTCCTGTTGGATCACCCACGTCTATTTCCGATGAGCTGTATCGCTGTTGATAAAAAATTTGCTTTCAATATTTTGATAAATAATTTATTATCATTGTAACTATTATTTACCTTGCTCAAATAATTTATAACTCTTTCTGGCAAAAAAGGACCTGTGTACTCCGGTACTTCGACTTTAAGCCCCATGTCTACTACCATGCATTCACGTCCGATTCTAAACGCATTATTATTAAACGCTTCTTTTAAAAACTCAGGACTCAGTACTTTTGCGATCAAGTCAAGAGGGTAGATTTCAGCGTAAGAAAGATGCATCAGCGAGGTGGTTAAACATTTTGGAAACCTTATAATAAACAAAAATTATTCAATAAATAACACGTTGGTAATTTTAAATAATTACATTAAACTAGCAACCTTGGAGTCACTATGTGACTGCCGTGACTTGTGAACTATAAATAAAGAAAATTTTACTTTCTTAAATATTGACATTTTTAAAGATATAAGCTCATCCCGATGTTATACTCATCAAGAGCTTTCATTTGAGTACTCACATGCATTTTGATATATATTTTCATGTATAAATATATATAATATATATAAATATATAAAATATACGAAAAATTGATGTGGGTACTCAAATGAAAGGTCTCGATGAGTGTAACATCGAGATGAGCTTATACCTTTAAAAATGTCAGTAGTTCATAAGATACAAGGTAATTTCTTAATTATTGATATTTTTGAAGATGTAAGCTCATCCCGATGTTACACTCATCAAGTGCTTTCATTTGAGTACCCACTTGCATTTTTGATATATTTTTCATATATACATATATATAATATATATAAATATATGAAAAATTGATGTGGGTACTCAAATGAAAGGTCTCGATGAGTGTAACATCGGGATGAGCTTATATCTTTAAAAATATCAATAGTTCTCAAGATACAAGGTTATTTATTAATTATGTATCTAGTGATGACTATCCTGGCCACAAAACTTTTCTTATTCTCTTAATAATATAGATTATACATACTTTTTTAATTCGGATGTTCGTCTTGGATTTCTTAACTCTTCAATTATTAATTTATATTGCAGCGATTCTTTCGGATACTTAAAAATTGCCAAAGAAAACAACATCCTCTCCAAGTCTTTAAGTCTTGCCATAGGTATACATGGCAGGAACCTTTAAATAAATCATATTAATAATCATAAAATAAATTTTTTCTCAGTTAACTGAGTAAATTCAATAATTTACCTCTCCAAAACTTCATCGATGACTTCCTTTTCATAGGCTAAAACAGTAGCTGCTGCATGAGCAGTATGGACAAGAGTAGCTGTAGAAACTGTTGGAATCCTCGGTTTTACAGCATATAATAATTTTCTAAACTTTCCCAAGTTATTCAAGCCCAAGCTGTACCTGGAAAAATATTCAAGTAAATTATCAAATTTTTTTTTTTAAAGTTCACCTTAAAAATAAAAATTTAATGATTAAATTTCTGACACTGAAGTTAGCAGACGTCTAAAAATTTTTGATTTTTTTTTTATTAATTAAATTACAGCTAAAAAGATTTTTCTAAAAAATTGCACTTATAGTTTTTTAAGTTTTTTAATTAAAATTTTTTCAATAAAAAATTTCTAAAAATTTTGAAATGTCGGCTAACTTCATTTTCATTTAAATTTTAATACCTGGTTATTTTCATGATAGCAGTAAATGAAATCTCTTCTATTTCATCAATGTCTCTGATGCAATTGTCAATTATTTTTTCTAACAACTGTGGATTTCTTATAGGAGTGCTTGTTTTAAAAAATCCCATTGCAATAATACCCAGCTCATTGCCGGTAAATTGATTTACACATTTTTCAAGGCGGTACTCTAATTCATACATATTCAAATCTGGCTTCCTCGAAATATTAAATAAAAACATATAATGTAAGTAATTTCCAGCTGTTAGTTTACTAGGTTTGCGTCCTAATTTTTTCATACACCTTAATACAAAATTAGACTCCCGTGATTGACGTAAGTGATACCAGAGATCACATATTTTCAGCCACTCATCAACACTCCAAATATTCATACGCAGAAGGCACTCCTGATCCATAGCTTTTTCCAGTTCTTTTAACAACGGTTGCTTGGTCGTCAACTGCATAGGGTACCACAATTCAATGTACCGGAACAGACTCCACAGTTCCTCATCGCTGAAATCATGGAGATATTTTTTCAGAGCTTGCAAAATATTCTTATGCTTATCAGCAGTCAGCAGTCCTGTTTTTTGGCGGCCACGGTGGAAGCTCAGAAGACGAAAGTGCTCGAGAACTTCTTCAGGACTGTAATCCTCGTGGTTTTTTTCAAGTATCCTCGCTACCACGTCCTCGGGTATGTCTTCTTCGGGAATTAATTGAGGAACTAGTGTATTTACTTTGCTACTGTTTTTTAAAATTGTATAGGCGTATAAATTTTCGGTTAGTCTAACAGAGTAACTTTTTTCTGAGCTCTCAACATCTTCAACTTCACTTTCACTTTCAGAGTCATTTTCTTCATTGTCATATTTTAACTGGCTGTTTTGTGATTGCGAATTTAAAGGTTTTGCAGACTGATACAGTGCGGGTGACAAAGTATGAATTTGTTTTGAATTAGTGATTGTTTTCTGTTGATCATTGCAAACTGTTTTGAGGTTAACTTGACGAGTTATTGCTCCTGATTGGAATCTTAGTCGTGATAATTGCTCCTGTACGCTCAATAAAATTCTCAATCTTCTTGAGAACATATTTGAATTAATATTTTTTTATAACACTTATTTTTTATTAGTAATAACAATTTTTTTTATGATTGTAAACACTTGAGATAATCACATGGTCGTCATACGGAGTTAAGAAAATGCCGTAAACACCGGGTGGATATTTAACCGAGATAAAAAAAAAATTTTTTTTTTATTATAATAAAGTTAGCCGACATTTTTGATTTTTTGATTAATTAAATTAGAACTTAAAAATATTATTAAAAAATTGCATTTACAGTTTTTCAAGTTTTTTAATAATGAAATTTTTTATTTTCATTTTTTTGTAACAATTTTTTAAAGGAAAAAAATTTAAAAATTTTTAGATGTCGGGTAACTTTATTTTCATTTTTTTTTCTTACAAAAAAGTAAAGTTTATAAAAAAATAATAATTATAAATCTACATGACATTAAAGTTAGCCGCCGTTCATAATTTTTTAATTTTTTTTAACAAACAAATTTGTGAAAAAAAATTATTTTAAAAAATTGCATTTTTATTTTTTTTTAATTTCTACATGTCAATTTTTTTTTCTCATTTTTGTCACACTTTATTTGTAAAAAAAATTATTAAATACCTGCTAAATTTATTTTCATTAAATTTACACACGGAGTATTGAATAATAATCAGCTGTCCCGTAATTTTTGGTAAATAAATAAAAATAACAATTGTTTGATAAGAATAAAAATTTCAATTTTAATTAAAATATTTTTAATAATTAATTTTTATTTCAATTGTTGATTTTTCTTTTATATTTATTTGTTATTCAAATTGTTTTTGTTCATTTTAAATTGCGCGCGAAAACTCTACTGCGCATGCGCAACACCAGCCAATAAGCGACGTTGATTTTTCCCTCGTTTTTGCTCGCTCACCTCTCCTTCGACGCCATGTTATTATTCGTTCGAAACAAATGACACTAGAAACGTCGTCCTGATTTGCTCCAATATTTTTTAGTTTTTAATAATTTTTACTTAATTAATCACGCTAAAGTCATTAAAATACGGGTATTAATCAGTATAAGAGTAACAGTTAATAAAATTTATCCGATGTCAGTGAATTAAAATAAAATTTTAGAAACGGTCGTTTTTTGTTTTTCTTACGTTCGGAGTTTTTTTAATTCTTTTTTCGGTTATTATAGTTTTTAGAGTATTTTTATTACGGTCTAGTTAGTTTGAATATTAAAAAGATTGATATTTTTGATAAATTTTGTTAAATCATCCGTGAAATTATTCAGTGTCATCGGCATTATTTTCACGACGTCACAGCCCGCATGGCTCAGTGTACCATGGTGGCTATGTATATACATAGATATATCTCCTCTGGTAAATTTATTTCGAATAATTAATTCTGTTTATCTTTATAATAATCTTATAAATATTTAATTAAAGCAATAATTTTTAAGCAGCTAAAATTCCAATTTTTGTTTTTTAAATAAATTAAATATCACTTGATATACATTTAAATGTATATATTTAAAAAAATTATTTTTCAATTCTTAATTTATCTTTATATTTAAAAACTTTTGGATATTATTTTATAATACTAAAGTTAGCCGACGTTTCTAATTTTTTTTTTTTTTTTTTCATTTATTACATTGGAACAAAAAAATATTTTTTTTAATTGCACTCCAAGTTTTTTACAAATGAAAATTTTTTTCTTATTTTTTTAGAATAATTTTTTCAATTAAAAAAAATTATAAAAATTTTTAGATTCCGGCTAACTTAATTTTCATATTATTTTTCATGAAAATCAAGTTAGCCAACATCTAAAAATTTTTAGAATTTTTTTCTTATTGAAAAAATTATTACAAAATAATTTAATTTGTAAAAAACTTGAAAAAATATTTTTTTTTTCTAATTTAATTATTGAAAAAAAAAAAAATTAAAAAACTAAAAATGTCAGCTAACTTTAGTATTATTTATTTTTGTCAGTATTTAAAAAAAAAAAAAATAATCTAATTTTTTACATTTTCACTTTATAATAAAAAATAATAATTTTCCAGAAAAATTGAATAAGAAAGCTGAATCCAGATGATATTGCAGTTGATGTTCTAAGCTGATCCAATGTAAGTAAAAAAACAAATTTTTTTTTTCAAAAAACACCAATGTTTATTTCTTCTATAAATTGAATATTGAATTTTTAAAAAGTTATAAATACTTAAACATCGTAAATTTATCCCGCCACTGTCAGCCATATCGTCGATTCCCTTGCGTACCTAGGTGGTCCATAAAGTGGTGCCACCAACCAAGTAGTGACTATGTTGTTGATAAGTAGAGTCAGACATAAAAAGTCAGATAGACAGCGTGTTAACAATCTTGTGACTCGTGTAACGTGTTCCTCATGTTTTTGTCAGTATAACAATAATTCTTAGCTCGTTGAATTTTTTAAAAGTTATTTCGTCGTTAGATTGGTAGCAAAGGGTAGATTTTAACATCGTTAACCATTTTTACCCTCAACAACAACAATAATAAGCGTGACATTTGATGAAAGTAATAAAATGCGTGACAGACGTAGTGTTTTTGTGTGAAAAAATCAACCGGCTCCGAATGTTCCGCCCACACGAGAATAAAATCACACGTTGGAACACGAGAAGCGTACCAGAAGAATAAAATATAATAATTGAGATCATCAGCGACAATCGAGCCAGTAGGGCTGAACCGAGGCCAGCATCATCAACAAGATTCATCTCATCTTGGTGATTCTGGACGTCGAGCATGGACGGGTGAGACTGTACCCGTGGAGTAATTTATCGACGACGAGTGTGGGTGTATGTGTTGACTGTGTCTGTAGGTTTATGTATGTTGGTGTGTATGAATGTATGTCAGAAGGCACATGGAACATGTATGAAAGTAACATGCACTTCCGTATATATGAGTCTTATAAAATCTACGAAAAATTATTATATGATTATTTTTTTGATAATTATTGTGATAACGAGAAAGAGAGAATTGAGGATTTAATCAGAGTTTTATTATTTTAAATGAAGAAAGTAAATTAATTTAGAAGAATTGATGGCTTTAATTTAAAATAATTAGAAAAAAAACTTTTAGTTATGAAGAAATATATTTTTTTTTTTCGTATTCAATCAATTAAAAGCGCAATTTATAATTCAACTGACAAATTAATTAAAAGAAGACATTTAATCAATAAATATACATAAATTACTATTACTATTATTATTATTATTATTATTATTATTAATATTATTGTTATTATGAATGTATTCGTGGACTGTTATATTAATTGAGAAAAGCGGGTGTGAGCGTGAATTGAATAGAAGATACAAAAAACTCTAAATAAGAGCGACTGGTAAAAAGAGACTGAGAGAGGGTTGGAAAAAATGAGTAAAGAAGTAAAAACAAAAATTGAATATGAATGATGTGTATTTAGCGAGTGAAAGAGATGGAAAATGCAAGTTTATCATGAGTGTGGTACTGCCCCCGGGGCGGCAATTACCCAGTATTCATAGTGAACGTTACGTATCATATTCCTTCTCTCTTTTTAAACTTTTACCAAAAACCATAATTATGTTGTCATGCGCCTCAGGCTTATAATAACGATTCAATCGGGTTGCTTTAAAATATTCAATAGCTTTCAATATTAATTTACATTTTTTTATTGTTGTAGTTTTTTATTTAATCTTAATTGGAGATTTTGGTTGGTACGCGAAATTCCTGCTTTTTTATTTAATGTTTTTTAGCCTCAGTTTAAAAGCTTCTATTGAGTTATGTGATCATGAATTCGGGGGATATAGAGAAACAAAGATACTATTGGTGGGATTAGTACGCGAGTTTTATTAACAAATCTTTTTTCTTTCTCTCTCTCTCTCTTCCTCTCTTTTACTGAGTTATAAGATCATTAATTAAATACACGTTAATACTGGATTTCTTAAACTTTTTTTTTGTTTAATGTCGTTATTTATTTTTTCTTATGACAGAAGTAATAATAATGATGATGATAATAATTTTATTTTAATATACTTCAATCTCAAGTCTCTATTTATACAGAAATAATATTAAAAAATTCACAACGTTTCTGTAGTAATTGCATTTTCAAGTGGATCTCTTTGAACGATACTTATTTATTTATATTCCGTATCTTGGATTATGTCATTTTTATTATTATTATCATCACTATTATTACTGTTATTATTAATATTATTATTATCATAATCGTTATTATATTTGACTAATGTCAGCGTAAAATATTTTAAATTCCAATTCTAACAACAATGTACAATTTCAGCTGTTTAAGTATGTTTTAATAACATGAGTATCATTATGATTTAATATCCAGTTGAAAATGATAATGGCTATGATGGAAATTATAACGATAACGACAATGATGATGATAATAATGATGAGAATGACGATGACGATGACGAAAGCGATGATACAATATAATATAATATCATTGAATTGAATATTTACCAATAAGCTATGTGTCATAAATTAGCAACAAACAAGAGTTTAATTCTAAAATGCAATACTTTAATACCATAGATGTTTATAGAAATAAATACAGACACATATACAGAATACTTGATCTGTATAAATAAATTAACCGCGGAATTGCATTAGTAATTTAGTATAAAATGTATAAACGCACACAAACAGGGATATTTGTAAATGTTAAAATCTACAAATTACAGAATCACCAATGACGATTCAGACCGACAAAATGCAATAAACGTAATTAGTAGTTCAATACCCGTGACTATATGGTATTAATGCTAACTGCTTCAATTATAAATTAATTTAAAGGAAATTCATTGACTAAAATTCACTCTTTGTTAACATTTGATTACACAAAATTGTTTGGTTAAATTTTCTCTATTGATTTACTCGTTTTAAAAACTCGAATCGATTATTCTTTAAACCGTAGTGCATCAGCAACAAAAGTAACAACGGGAAAATTAAAAAATAAATGTTGTATAAACACTTTTATACTAGTACAGCGGTGGAAAATAGAAATTTAGAGCGGTTTTATTTTA